ATTGCAATTTGCTCGTATATATCTTTTAGTTGCACCCCAATAATTTTCAATATAATTTAATTCACAATAGAATTTTGAATAGAAAATTATTTTGTAACCAGCTTTTTCGACTATTTCTTCTAGAAGTGATTTTTGATTCATAAAATCAGACTCTAAATTTAAGATTCATGTAGCACAACAGTTATTTTTTTGAAAAAGTCCTTTTTTTCAATTTTCACAAATTTTTTTTAAACCAGAATAGTCTAAACCTCTTTCTTCAAGAACTTTACACATTCCTTTTGGAGTTCTATCAGAGAATACCATTTCTTGCTATTCTCCATTTTGCATATAAGTTTTCTTATTTTGGATTGATTGCCTCCTGATTTAAAATTCATTCTTGATACTACTAAAGCATCTTTAGCGAATGCTCTATGATTATTACTATTATCAAAAGCAAAAACAGCAATACAATTAGGATACATAGCTTCAAAAATAGAAATTGTTTTATTTTTTAATTGATTTGCAACATCTTTTCTGGTCCAATAACCATCACGATAAGCACTAGGACAGATTATACAGCAAGCCTCATTAGGAATTTGCTCTTTAGATAGAAGTTGACTATTTAGTTCTTTATGAATATCATCTAATTGAAGCCAACCAATTGTATTACAAAGAAACTCGCTAACCATTAAGCTACCTTCAAGTGATTTAGGACATAATGGTTGTTCACCACTAGGTCCCCAAAATATTTTTTGATTATCATTTGCATAAAATACTATTTCATCATGTGTTACTAAAATATATAACTTTTTATTTTTAGGTAAAACTGGATTAATTTGTTGGGTTAAATCATCTGACCAACTTGGCATTAATAATTCAAATTGTTTTATACATTCTAAAAATATATGTCTATGTTCTATAACGTCTGCTCTTTCATGACCATCAATATATAATCTCTTTTGATAATATTGATACTTCTATCCTAACTTGTCTAACCATCTTTGTACTGTTCTCTTACTTATAGTTTTTTTGGTTTCAATTCTGATACTTAGAAAGATTTCATCGGTAATATAATTGCAGATTTGAGAAATATTCAATTGAAATTTATTTGAATTTAAAAATTGAACTATTTTATTTTGAATATCCTCATTATACAAAAGCGAATAAGTTTTTTGATACTTTCCTCTCTTTGAAGTTATAATAAACCTATGCTCTAAATATTGTTTGCCCCAAGATCGTATCAAATGTGCTATCTATAGACCATGATTAAGTAAGATTGAAAGTATTGTTACAAGTGGTGTAGCCTTCTTAATACACCTCAAGTAATATAAGATACGGAAGGGAGACTCCCAACAGTGTCAAAGTAGAATGTTACATTATTGTGGCGGTTCATTAGAGAAGTTTATTTTTAAAGCTAAAAGATTATATTTATTAAAGAACTAATAGAGAACTTAGAACTTTATTGAGTATTGTATTTTGAACTATAAAACTATTTTACTATTTATTAAATAGGAGATTGTAGAGGACTAATCTAAGTTAGGGCAAAGGGAAAAGGGAGGGTTTATATAGCTTTTTACAATTAAGAATAAGAACAGTAGAAATGGTAAG